GGCAGCATTTTACTCTGATGTAAATGAGATGTCAAATAGTCATGAGTCATTTCCTTAAACCCCACAGGGAATCTGGGCAGGCTTTCCCAGAGTATGACTCAACCTTCTAATAGCAGAAGTTCCACTTCTTACTAAAGCTGAGGCTTAATATTTATATTTTCTCTTTCCCTCACCTTCTGAATACTCGCAGTCATTTAGCGTAAAGAAGCCACCAGTCTGGCTAACTGACAGCTACTTCATGTTCTCATAAAGGCGAGAGAGTTAGACCTGATGAAGCACTTATTTCTGATGACTGTGCACCTTCACAAACGGCTCACTAAGTCATTTCTGAGAAGCCTTCCTTTGTTGTGTGACATGTCAGTGTTGTTCCAGTAATTTGGCCCAAACTGCAACATTTCTGACGTGATCTCACTCTGCTGCTGTTGTGGTTCTTCTCGGACAGTTTGGGCTGCATTTGCTGCACATGACAAGAGCTGGCCTGTCCAGTGGGGGGCAGTGTATCTTTACCCCCCTCTGCGACAGCAACAACAACCACGAAGAGCACATGTAGAGGACGAAGTTTACCCACAGCTTTTAGAAAGAGCGCCCACTCTTGTACATGGAGGTGTGTGTGTGTGTGTGTGTGTGTGTGTGTGTGTGTGTGTGTGTGTGTGTGGCGTCTGCCGTGTTTGTGTTTCTCTTGAGGTTTGTTCTTGTTTTTATGATTTGCTTGGCTCCTGTGGTTTGGAGTTGTTGTTAAATTTGGCTGCACTCTAGCATGGTGTGTGTGTGTGTGATGTGTGTATGTGTGTACATTTGTGGTTTATGATTGCTGAAGCTCTGAAATGTCAGGTTGAGTTGGAATAATGCAAGGTATTAATTTATATTGTGCGCACCATAGATTAAAATTTGGTAGCATCTTATCTGTCATCGTATCTGAGCAAGCCAGCGTTATAACAACAACCACTAAAGCTTTTAATCCACTACTTTGCACATGAAAATGCTATTATTTTAGTAAGTAAGGTGGCTAAGACAGATAATGTAGAATCATTGATACTCCCTAAGCAAGCATACAAAGGAAGTAATTCAGTGTCAGTCCATCACATCAAATGAGGGGGCTCATTAAGGTTTGTTGCATGCTCCTATGGTTTTGCTGCTGCTCCTAACTTTCAGAGTTGATCCATGAAGTCTTAGTGGTGCTTAGCATGGCAGTGTTCCTAATTGGTTTGTGGGTTTTCATCTGCATCAGTTGTGTTTTGGCCTTGTTAAACATTGAATGGAAGTTTGGATGTTTGAAATTCATCAGGAGATTTCTGGTCAGGCCCTGGAGAGCCTCTGTTGATTGAATAGGCGGGAGGACTGTTGAATAATCAAACCGCTTTGTCAGGAAATAGCAAACATGCTAAGGCCAAATGTCTCAAATGATAATCAGTTTACTGTCACATCAGGCAAAGGGAAGCAGTAAATCATTCAAGTTAAGAATCTGTAACAAGGGAATGTTGGATGTTTATGTTTGGAAAATGACTTAAAGGTTCAGTGTGTAACATTCAGGAGGATCTATTGGCAGAAATGTAATATAATATTCATAGGTAGGTTTTCATTAGTGTATAAAATAAGAATTGTTGTGTTTTTGTTACCTTATAATGAACCGTTTTTATCTACAGAGAGGGTCCTCTCCTACAGAATCCACCATGTTAAACGCCATGTTCCTACAGTAGCCCAGAACGGACAAACCAAAAACTGACTCTAGATAGGGCCAACATAGTTTTTCTCCTACATACTTGGAACGTGAACGTGAAGGTGAGGGGAGGGCGTTGTAATCTATAACTCCACCACTGGATGCCACTAAAATCCTACACTCTGGTCCTTTTTAAACAACTATTTGATTGTCAAAATAGCTGCTGATTAATTTTCTGACTATTAATTTATTATTTAACCTCTATAGATAATAATCCTGCAAACACTGTGTTCTTTGTTAAATTAAATATGTATGCTGATTTGAGTAGGTTTTAACAGTAAAAGCACTAGAAAGCATATGAACTACATCTAAAGCTGAACAGCTGGGCAGCATCCACTACGCTGGATTCAGCACATTCACATTGTCTACGTGACCTTTTCCCTGGCTGATTTTGAACATTACTGCTGGTCACAGTGCTCATCTCAAGTTCCCAGAACCCAAGATTAAGTCTTAAGATTGATCATCAATGAAACAATGACATCAAACAGAAAATTAACCAGAGAATATTTTGCTTGATAATTGACGGTGATCAAATTTCTTTCCGATTTATTTTCTGTCGATTAATTGACATGTTTCAGCTCTGCTTTAATCACAAGGGGATGAGGCTTAGTTTAGTTCACAGATAATGAAAGGATGTTTTCTAATACTTTATCTGCAATAACTAAATGGAAATTTTCTTCAACATTTACAACCTGAACAGTGTGACATTGCTGCTTATAAAACATGATGACTGCTTTGCATTGATAATCAATCTAATGCATGTTTGAGCAAATTGATCCGAGACACTGTATCAAGCCACAGCTCCTGCTATTAGGGATGTCACGATGCCACAAATTTAGTAGTTGATACCAACACCAGTGAAATTCCACGATTCTCGATGCTCATTTAATACCACGGTAAAAAGTTTTTTTTTTTTTTTCCCAAATCCCCCATTTTAATATTGAGTCCTTAATACAGGACAAATAGCTCTGCATTGCATTAAGAAGAAAATAAAGCTGTTCCTTAATGTTTTTTTGTTCGTTTTGTTTTGTTTTTTATACTACAAAGTAGCTATAAAATAGCCTAACATACTCTCTGTAATCGTTTTTGTCGTGGTCAGGAGGGAATTTCTCACCTGCCTTTGCTTGAGTTACCATTCTTGAACTGTATTATGCTGAAGGTTTATTTTAATCATCTGTGCATTCTTTTGCGCAGATTACATTCATAAATGACTTTTATTGGCTTTTTGTATGCAGGGTTTTTGTTGAACTTGCAGTGACACGGTGAGTGTGCAGCTTTCCGCCACTGTCTGACTCACCTCCGAGCTGGAGCTCAGCCCGGCATTTAACAGCAGACTAGAATACCTTTAGGCGTAGAAGCTGCCTGTAGAAAAAAACAAATACTGTCAAGTTCTCAAAATTTAGACATCGACTTGGTGCTGAAGTATTGGTTCTCGTGACATCCCTTCCTGCTATCATCTAAGCAATGCGTCCTTATTCCTGCTCTCTGTGGTGAAGTTGAATCTTGTAAACTTTAACCAAGCTGAAGACACTAACTTGATCTTGTGGCATGAGTTCCTCTGATTACACTTGAGCTTCACTGACATTCTGGCAGGAAACTGTATTTTGAGTTCAACCCTCTTTAAATACTTTGTGTTTTTGTGACAGGGCGAAAACCAGCGACTGCTAACCACCTCCACCTGCGGCCCTATACCAACAGCTCTGGCATCAAAGCCAACATCGGCAGGGAACTCCAGCTCTCTCCCAACCTCTGTCCTTCTTCCTCGACTCCAAACCACTCTTCCTCACTTCAACCTCAACAGCCAGCTCTCCTCTCTTCATTGCTTTTTTTGTTGTCATGGAAGCATTATTCAGCACACCTCCTCCTTCTTCCCGTTAGCAGCATGTCACTCCCACATTCGCCTCAGTCCTTCACCTCACAGCTTTCCCATGTCTCCTCATCCCCCTCTAAACTGTTTACAGCAGACACTTCGACATTCTTTGAAGAGAGCACATTTGGAAAGAGAAACACACCAGCGCTTTATGCCAGGATCACACCTGAACCACAGCCCTGTGCTGCCTCTGGAGTCAGAGAATCAGTTTCTTTTTTTTTTTTTTTTTTTGCTTTAATATTATTTGCTGCTTTTGTCAATCTATTTTGCTTCTGTGCATCAATGAAATTAAGACTGATAATAGGAGCTATGCATTGCCAATTTGTAATGCTGTTCATATGTGTATTTTTAGAAAGCATTTTTCAGAGGGGAAAATAAAAAAGTTCTATTTTTTATAAGAGATTACTTGAAGTTTTTCACAGTGATGGGGGGTTGGTTAAATGAAAAGCACTGCCTCCTCCCACATGAGAAATTCAGTGGTGTGTAATGTTTCCACGATGTACATAGTGTTCTTTTTAAAAAGATGTGTGTAAAGACATATTTTTGCTTGTAAAAAAAAAAAAGACTAACGACAATGTTACAGATTTGAATACAGTAGAAAAGCTGATTTGATGACTTTTTGTTCTCCTTTTGAAATGAATTTGTCTTAAGTTTCTCTTTCTCTTAGAGTGTAATCTACAAATAAAACTGGTATTATCTAGTTTACATAACAACCTGTCTATGCTCTTCTTACTTCACCACGAACTTGTTAGCTGAGATACCATGAACAGCCTCTTAATTTCCTACAAAAGGTGAGAAAGTTGGACTAGAAGATTGATACTACCTTAAAATTTGTCCATTAAAAAATCTACAATCTACAGCTGGTTAACTTAGTTAGGACTTCTGGTGTTGCCTAGCAACGCAGATATGAGTCTCATCATCTTTACATTTTATTTTATATTTGTGACAGAAAAGCAAGTTTAAAATGAGTTACATACATTAGATAACATTTTGGAATATTCTCAGAATCCTCCATTGTATTGAGAAGTAAAGATTTGGAAAATGGCTTAATATAAATTATTTTGAATTTACTTTTAGGGTCTGTTTCATGTTACAGTTTTTCTCTTTAAATAAACAAATGCTGTCAGGACATTCATTTCCCACAACCAGGGCACAGGGAAACTACCCAAAACAAAATGCAAACAGAATGACGAAACCACAAACTTGGCAGAACAGCACTTACAAGGTCAGAGTATGAATCAGAGCGCCGCTTGTTGTGATCCCTCCAAGTTGTTGTAGAAAGGAATCAAATTTCAGAGGCGGGACTGCCAGGAATACAATATGGCACATGGCCAACCACTTTCAGTTTAGCGTGTGTAGGCATGGTCTAGTGAGAGTAACACAATCAAAGTCTTTAGATAAAGTCAAAAAGGGTTCTTGCAACAGTCTTTTATTGGAAAACGCATTCAAATGCTGCAATACTAGGAAATAGTATTCCAGAAGTGCACATCTGGGTCAATTCTTGTACAAGATGCAATGTTTGTACATCTAAAGATTATTATCTAAATGAAAGGAAACTACAATAAATGTCCAAGAGTGAGGGGTGGGTGGGGCTCTTGTGGGGTCAGTTTACAACTATGTTTAAAGTCAAATCAATATAATACATTGTTTAAAAGCACAGAGTCCTTTAGTATTATAAGCTTACGACACACAACACCCGTCTTCTCCACTGACCAGGTTTGACCCCAGTGAAGAACCCACAGTGCTCTCAAAAATGCAGAGATGTTATAGCACAGAGGCCACAGAAGCTAATTATGAGCTACAAAAAAACTAAATATGTGTGTTTCAGAACAGTGCGGGAGGGATGCCGCTGCCAAAGAGAAGACTCCAGGATGTTGGGATCTTCCATTTGTTGGGCTTTTGGCTCTGAAATGCAAAACCATAATTAGAAAAATGTATAATCTCTACAGCAGTCACACATTATACTGTAGTAGTATCCAGTATACGGTGATTCTCTTAAGAAAGTTTCTTTTCTTAGTGTGCTAAAGTATTAAAGGCAGCTGGCTCTGTAACATAGTACGGCTGTCTGCTCAAGTTGGTCACTTACAGGATTGTCCAGCAGATGGAGCCAGTCGTTGAGGTGGTTGACGAGCGTGAAGGCATCTGGGATGTTGTCGCCCTCTGAACAGAAGAGCAGCAGCACAGCCAGTGGGAGATCCTCTGCATAGCTAAACATAAACATCCAGCACACATGGTCAGACACATAAAAAAAAACCTGTTAATTAATAATTAATGTATAAAATACTGCAGCAGGGAAAGTGTGTTTTGTTTATTATCATACTGCAGATAACTGATTATTTTGCAGGTTTTCCGGCCACATTTAAGTAGAATTGTAGTAAAAGATACAGACAATAATGTAACTGTAAGTATGAGAGAGAATATAGACAGAATTATAAGATAAATAGATTGATTGATTGACACACACACAACCGGCTTTGTACGAAGGATGTTCGTGCATGTGAGTCCCTCCATTTATTTTGACCAACCCAGTGTTGGTGATTGTTGGAAAGACTAACAAAGAGGGTTTTGTGAAGCGAACGTGATAACCACTACACTACGGAAACGGGCTCAAAGAGGGTTTTGGTAAGTTTTATTTAGTTTATGTCCAATTTGAAGTGTGTTTTACGATTATCTGTGAGGTAAAATGACTGGTTTTCTCAATGGAGTCTGGTTGGCCATAGTGCACAATTGTCTCAGATGCTGTGCTCTAGAGCGACATCTACTAGCAGTGAATATCATATACATAACCTTTAATGAGTTAATTCTATGAGAATGCTATATAACCATCTCGTAACATGCTGTTTGTTGCTGTAATTGGTTAATTATAGAGCCATGAGTCATGTGGCATAAACAAAGGGCAGTTACAACTCTATTTCTAACTTCTCAAACTTTGGTATATAAAAATAATTCATTTAAACTTATACTCATTTTAACTCTATATAGTTGGCTGGCGCAGCTCTCTCGCTCTGTACCTCTCTGTGTAGAGTCCTTTGGTTATGCCTCCTCCAGGAATGTAGAGGCGTTGCTCTGTGTTGGCGTCCGTCAGTCCTGGAAAGGCCGGCACTCGCTCCATCTCCCTCCAGCCTAGCTCTTTCAACGCGTCCTCACTCCCCTTCAGCAGGGACGGAGTGACCAGGTACCTCAAAGGAGTGCTAACACAGACACATATTTGTTAGTGGAGAGGATCGTAAACAGCAAAGGTAAAGAAATGCAGTGATGATGTGGAGTACGGGGTTAGGTACCCTTGCAGCTGTTGGTCGTCCCTCTGGTAGGCGTGGCTGCTGGACAGAACTACAGTCCTGGAGAACCCGCTGGCTTTGATCCACGACACAAGAAGCTGACTGAACCTTTTGGACTTGGTCTGTAATTAAAGTTAGAACTATCAAAATATATCTAGCAGCATTCTTCATGTCACCTTCCATGTAAAAGCACTTTGGATCATAAAAAAAATGTAAAAGGTAAACAGAATTAGAATAATGCTGATGCCACAGACTGTGGTTTTACCTGAACAATGGGTGCCCTGATTTGAAGAACAGCCAACTTCAGTTCTGCTGCTGTGTAAACTGTTAATGAGAAAAGGTTGACAGATTAATCGAGGATTAGATTTCTGAAGAAAATGTAGAGCTGTAGCAGCGAAACACAATCAGAGAGCTGCACCCAAAGTTACCAAAACCTCAGGACCAAACAGGTAAGTACGGTATGTCTTTTACAACACATGCAGGTTAGCAAATAATACAACGAAGAACATATTTCACAGGTGAAATCTGCACATTCACTCCTCTACAGCAGCCAGATAATCAAGACCCAAAGAGGTGACGCAATCCATCTCAGCGGTGATCAGGTGGTACCTTCTGCAGGAGTGTGGAGCTCCTCAGCGTCCTCTTTGCAGGTGGCGTACGGGTTGTTCCCGGCCATGGGGATGAGGCAGTCTGTGTGTATGTAGCCCACCCTGCTCATGTTGAGAGTGGACACCATGAGGTCCACAGCCAGCTGGCCCACGTTACCAACAGCCACTGCTGGCTGTGGGGGAGAATGAAGAACAACAATGAAGAATTATCTACAACTACTGTCTGTTTTCATACATCCAACGTCTCTCACATGTGACAATTTACTGCCTCTCCTTGTCTGAAATTACAGTCAACAGAACAGGAAGTAGGAAGACGCCACCCTGGGTTCTGGATGAGGGGCATTTGTTGCTATTTACCAACATTACACAAACAAAACGATTTACGCTTTCAACAGAGAAAATAATCATCGGATTAAGCTGTAATGAAAATAATCATTAATTGCAGCCCTGTATAAAACAATGCTTGCACATTAATCCATGAGTAATAATAATCTAATTATATAATATTTAATAGTATTAACAGTCACAGGTGGCATTTTTCTACATTGAGTACTTTTACTTTCACAATGCAGAACCTTTATTTGTATTTTAAGAGTATTGGTACTTTTACTTAAGTAAAGGCTCTGAATGTTCCTCTACCACTGAGTGTCTCCATTAAATACATTAGTTTAATAAACATTAACAGTCTAAAATATCCCCCCACATGTATCCAGTGAACTTCAATGTAAAACAACCAAACTGACTCACTGCTAATAAACCCATTTCATACAGACAGTAAACTGCTGCAGCGGATCTTCAGCTGAAGTAAAAGCACAAACTCCAGATGTGTCACTCACCATGACGAGGGTGAAATCTTTGAAACAGGGCGCTGAGTTTTGTGAGGAGATAAACATGGCGCTGGTGAGATAGCCAACACACACACACACACCGGTGCGGAATAAGAGATTTAAATGTAATTTATGGGGTGAATATTTTGCTCTCCGGTAGTTTTCGCTTCTGTTCTCATGCTCTGCTGTTGGGGACTTTGTGGTCTCTGCCTCGGCGTCGCGGTTTTTAGTAGCTGCTGTCAGTGCCTGAATTAAAAGAGTCAGGGACGCTTTATTATATATTTATATATAGTTAAGGTTTGCACCGACTATCTCAGTCTGTGTTTATGGGTCTATATGGATATATGAGGCTATATATTTAAGAAATATGTTTAAGGAGTTTATATTATAATCAGGGATATTAAAGGCTCCGCAAAGACGTGGTGCGAAATAGAGATCTTCAACTCAAATAGATCAATCTGTAAAACAATTACTTTTACAATACTACTGCTAATAATGATTATAATAATAAATCGATTTTTTTTTACAGTGTTTCATTAAATTGAGCCACAAAAAAAAAAAAAAAAAAAAAAAAAAAAAAAAAAAAAAAAAAAAAAAAGGAATATAAGTATTGTTAAAGTCATCATCGAAATTAAAATTCCTATGAATAATTACATGGCTACATTTTTATATATTAGATTAACAAGGTGTGTATTCAAATGTTTACATGCATGTGGCACTAAAATCCTGTTATTGACGTTTCTTTTCACCCTTAAGACTGGAGTTTCTCTATTTATACACTGGATACATTGATTAAACTGGAAAGACTTATTTACATTATTAGCATTATACACAAAAAGTAAATGATTTATAAGAAGGATTTCAACTCTGCAGGCTGAACTCTCTTGAACATGTATCATCAGTTATTAATAATAATGAAGACTTGGCAAGAAAGTGATATAGTTGGGCAGAAAATCTGTCATCTGCGTTGTACTACTGTATAACCAAGTTAAAGGTTCATGGAAGGAATAAAGGTCAAGTATGCAAGGTGCAAAAAAATTTGAGGTAGCTTTATTATTTTTTTTCCTTTTATTAAAAGGATTTTGTATTTCAATGTAACAGTCGTTAAGCTACACTACACATTACAATCATCCGACAAATTCATATCCAACATTTGTTTACACACTTATCATATTAAACATTTTCTAATTGCTACATTAATTATCTCAATGTAACATACATGATCATGTTTCTAATCCTGATTAGACAGAACACCATACAACCAAAACTAATTAACGAAAAAGGTAAAAATACTTCGTCTTGCAGGAGGAAAACCCTTCTGATATCGACAGATAAGGTACAATCAGTGAAATCATTTTGGTTTGACTTCATTGGGAATAGATTGGCCTTTCACTGCAGCCAGACCATTTTCAACCATCCTCTGTACCATCCTTCTTGTTGTAGTGTAAGTGTTGGTGCCAACGTGGGGGGTGATCAGCACATTAGGGAGGCCAAGGAGAGGATGATCCCTGCACAAGAAGGATAAGAAGAATTCTCCTTTATTTAACCAGTGGCTTTGAGTCAAATAAAACAAAGCTGTAAACACTCTTTGTCTGTATGTGCAGACCAGTAAACAGATTATTCTTTTCCTTTTACAGGTTGTTGTGTTTATCTGACATTAAAGCTGATGAAGAGATTAAAAAAATGTCCAGGGATTTACATGAACACACTAAAGTTTCATTAAGGGATTTGATTTTATGGCACTTGGGGGCAGTGGAACAAGCTGTTAACAGAACACTGATATATAATCACCTGTCCTTTTATACTTAACGAGCTGAAGTCCCTGAATACGCTGTGTGTCAGTACATGTGTTCTTCTGTAATCTGTTAATGCACACAGTTAATACATTTTGCACAGTTAAAGCAAGGATATGTAATTTTTGTTCGGCAGGGGCCATCGCTAAAAAGTATTGTAGCAGTAGCCGAGAAGAGTCAGAAAGTGAATTGACTCAGTAATTGAACCATACAGCAATTTTGATCTAAAGCAAGACTCCTTAGTGGATTGAATACAACTGTTTATTTAAAAGAGGGAGAATGTGGTTGTTCTTCTTTGAAAATGTAAATAGTTTCAGTTTAAAGAAAAATGAAGTGAGTCTGGTTGAAGAGTGTTATGTAACCTTGGTAAAGGTTCAGGATGAGTCACGTCTAATGCGGCCGCACGAATCGTTCCAGACTGCAGAGCTTTGACTAAAGCATCCTGGTCCACAACCAGACCTTGGACACCAAAAGAAATTTAATTAAAGATTAACATTTCAGAATAACTTAGCAGTAACTTTTACAGTTCTTTAACTGAGATCAGTAAAGTCCAGGAGACGCATTGTCCTCACCTCTGCTGATGTTGACCAGTGTTGCTGTGGGTTTCATGAGGGACAGCTCTCTGTGGCTGATCAGGCCTGTGGTTGCAGGGCTCAGGTTCACCGCCAGCATGACGAAGTCTGACTCTTTCAGCAAGTCATCCATGTTCTCACAGTAACTCGCCCCGACTGCCTGCTCATCCTCAACACTCCTAAACAGCACGGAGAAAAGATGAAGCTGACCATTAACATTGTCCTGTTGATTCAATGATTATCTGGTTACAGTAGTGATATATCTACATATTGGCCTTGTGATAATTATTCATCTTAGAATTGTAAAACATAATTTTTTCTACCTTTACTCTTAGAGATTATATATAAAATACATTTAGAACTATTAAAAACTGTTTTGGTCTTGAGATTGGAGACATCACAGAGGTAATAATATCATCAAAGGCAATGCACATCATCAAGATACAGCTACACAGCTAACTGCGGTGGATCATGTGTTTCTCTTCATCTCTAAATGAACCAAATTACCAATTATTCATCAAACTTTCACCTCCTGTTCCTGTTGTGATACAGGATCTTCATGTCAAATCCTCTGGCTCTTTGAGCGATTCTGCAGCCAATGTGTCCCATTCCAATAATCCCTAGAGTGGACCCTGTGACTTCAACTCCCATCAGGCTTTCTGGTATATGGGTGGTCTTGGGGTCCACAGCTATCTGGTGGCCTACGGAGAACAGGAGCAAAAACCTTCAATCAACAAACCTTTTATCAAAGCCTGCTGCTACTCAGGTCACTTTGATAATAGCCATGCCAGTTTTTCCATCGCCAGCTAACTGTGGCCTCTGAAAGACTCTCTGAGTGAAAGAGGATTATGGGGTGGACAATCAGATTTCAGGGGTAGTCAGTGCCACCCCAGACCAATTGCAATTGTCAGGATTCAATTAACCTTTGACCTCGAGAGTCTTAGGATACATGGTGTCATACAGATTTTAAAACCCTTTGAGGCAAATTTATGCTTTATGATTTTGGCTATATATAAAACTGCCTTGGCTTGACTCACCTTCAACGATCTTCCGTGCCGATGCCAGGAGCAGACCCAGTGCAATATCCGCTGTGGCATCGCTCACCACACCGGGAGTGTTGGTCACCTTCACTCCGAGGCTGTTGATGTACGGCACATCCAGGTGGTCGATGCCCACTCCTCCATTGGCGACCACCTTCAGTGAGGGAAGCGAACTGAGCAGCGAAGGCTCGGCTGCAGGACGGGCGTTCCACACGAACATGGCCTGGATTTTAGGGCCGTACAGCTGGGGGTTTTGAAGGAAGTCTTTGTGGCAGATGATTTTGAAGTGTTGTTCCATTATTTCAGTGACTTCTGCAAGGTAACCATTTTCGCCCACCTCTGAGAACAGAGCCCATGGTTTGTTGTCCTCCATTGCCTGGAGGGATGAAACACAGACATTAGTAGGACAGGCCAGGGTGGGCAGAGTTTATGCACAGTTTGGGGTCAATACAGCACAGACATATTGGGTTCACTTGACCAGCTAGTACCAATGGAGTGTTTTGACCCAGTGTTGGTGTTATTTTTAGCCTATATTACTGTTGGGTGCCTTGATCCAACCCTGGTGGGTGGTTTTCTACCCATTGGCAAAGGGGAAACAGCAACCCTGGCTCCGTCCAAAGGTAACAAACTCTGCCTACCAGCACCTCTCAAGCTCACGATATGTCTCGTTTGTTTAATCCAAACAAAAACTAAAGTGTAAAACAACATTCCGCTGTTATACAGGAGGTTGTGTGTTGTCTTTGAGCAGCTGCAACCAGGAAGTTACTGCTCCCTTTGGCCAGACCCAGGCTAGCTGTTTCCTCCAGTTCTTATGCTAAGCTAAGCTTACTGGCTGCTGTTGACTAACGCTTCATATTTATCTGACAGAGATAAGAAACAAACTCACAACCTGGTTCTTTATAAATGAAGTGTTCATAAGGCACATATGGCCAGATGGGAAGAGGGCAGTCAAGAAGTCAAGAGCTGCAGAGAAGAGAAAAAGAAACCTATGAATATATAATATAAAGAATAATAATTTAAAGTAAATATTGCGCTTATATAGTGTATTTTACCAAATTTTTTATTAGACAAGTTAATTTATTATTAATACATACATAATGCAGAGAGAGTGGGATAGACAAGGTTAATCTGGCTCTGGAAGTACATCTTTATCAGTATCTTTATCTCAAATGGTTCAAAGCTGCCAGCTATGTATTATATTATTACAGATATTTAAAACTGTGTGTGCATTCATTCCTGTACTGTGTGTGTGAGTGAGGAGTCGTTGTGTGTGTGTGTGTGTGTGTGTGGGGGGGGACTACATATGAGGTCAAAACACTGCATTTGTGATAGTTACTGCTGTCAAAATGACCTGTTGTTACACTACTCTCCAGATCACTTTTCATTAATTACACAGAAAAAACAATTTCAAAATAAATTGTTATCAATAGTAACCAATGACACATTTAAAGCTCACATCCAATAATGAGAAATTCAGTAGGAACTTAAAAAACTTAAAAAACCCAGCCAGCACTCGTGTACCTTGTTCCTGGTTTCCCTCTGCTTTTGAACCAGGAAGAACTACTTAGGGAATGTGGAGACTTTCAAAATAAGAGCCCCCCCCTTTTTTTTAACAACAACACTGCTACTGCTCCTGTTATATAGGAAAATAATAATAATAATAATAATAACAATAATAATAATAATAATAATAATAATAATAATACTAGTTTATATTGGTTTTGTGTGTTTTAAACTAATTCAGGCCATATATGTTGTTCATTTTAGTCATATATTATATAACTCTGTATAATGTTCGACTCTTAATTTATCTGCACCTCAACAATAATTTGATCATCACACTTCAGTAAAAACATAAAATAAAAGCTGTCCTCAGTCTCCTCTAAGTACACCTTGACTTCTTACCTTGCACTCCTATCCTCCATATCCCCAAGAGTACTCTCATTATAAGCTGATGACGATGGCATCTGCTAAATGCCTAAACTGGCAATTGCAGATTTCACAATACCTTTTTGTGTAGTTGCAGTTGATGTACAGATCTGTGCATGTTTGTCCCTTTAAGAAGCCGGTATGCTTGTGCTGGGCCCCACAGTCTCCTCATGTACCGGACATAGCAGAGACTTTGCATTCTGGTTGAAAAGTTCATGATAGTAACAATTATCTGTAAAGCTGCATCAAAATTTATTTAAGAGGCAGTCAATAATATCTGCTGATCTGTTGTGCAAAAAAAATCCTCAAGAGATTCAACATCAAACAGAGGGAAGCAAAATGTCTATGAATTTATGTATGTCATATAAAAATGTGCTTGCAGTGAAAGTCCACAGGTCAAATGAATAAATGATTAACATGAAACTTCTGGGTCAAATAGACCAAAACAAACGTATGGGCACTCAGAGAGAAAATGCATGAAATTGCCCAAAAATATTGAATGTATAAACATTTAATTTGAAAGGTCTCACCTTCAGCTGGAACCTGAGGAGTTTTTCTCAGTCCTGTGTCCTGAGGAGTAGAAACCAAGGGTTAAGAGGGAGGGGACAATGTCTGACTTCCCATTTGCTTTAGATGAAGATTAAACAGAGGGTCTTCTACACCCGTGTAGCATGGAGAGGAGAGGAGGGGAATGATTCATTATGCACAGTGACTGGGCACACACAAGCTTCAGGCTGGTGATTGCACAAGAGTGAGCACAGCGACCAACGGTCAGAAATCTACCCACCATAAAGGACCTGAACAGCAACAACGAGAACAACCTGTTCTTGGTTTATAGAAGTTTAACTTGTGGATTTTTGGTTTCTACTTACTTTTTCCTCCTATTGTATCTGCTTGTTGGTGTCATCAATTCAGTGAGAGATTCTGATGAGGAAATGAATTATCCTCAAAGGGACGTTCAGCTACTGTAGCAGAAAATAACAATTAGAATTAGAGGAGCATGTAATGTGAAAAAAGTGCATGCAAACTGGCAGTTATATATATGTACTATTTATATGACCAAGTTTTTTGTGCTAAAAGTATGGATTTGTAAAAGGTAGAAGATAATGTGAGATATGATCAAGGCTAGATAGATACGAATATAATAAGATGTGAATTAGGCAAGGCAAATTTATTTATATAACACATTTCATACCCAAGGCAACCCAAAGTCCCAGAGCAAAAAAACAGGACACAAATGATAAAAACAAAAAAAAACAAGCAAGCAAAAGCACAAAAAATAAATGAATAATAAACCCTTATCGTAGTGTGGAGTAATATGAAAACGTAATCTATGAATCACATGATACATATGCAAATAATAACAATACAAGAACTTTGGGAGTATGAGAAATGATAAAATGCAGATAAGCAAAATGTATGAAAATCATATAAACAAATTCCATAAGAAGCAATAACACTAAATGTTTTGTTGACAATTCTTTTGCATCATAACAATGTTATCTTGCTCACCAAGCCACAGTGCAGCAAACATGTGCTCACTCTTTAATGTCCCCTATTTAAGAGCCCAAATTATTCTAATCTACAGTAGGACATGAACGTCATTTGAACATGTAACCACTAGGTGGCAGTAATACATCAACATGTGTCTGTATGGCAGCACAGGGACTTCGCTTGTGAATGAGCTTATCTGCTGAAAGTCTGCTGTCACAGCACACATAACCTGTCGGCACTTACACTGCTTCTTTTGTGTGGGATGGATGACCTCATCTTCTACTTCTAATTTTTATATTTGCAGTAACATATCAACAGAATGAGCAGACAACAGCCACACTGTGTAAGACAGTGGTTCCCAGCCTGTTTGTCGTGTGATCTACTAATATGTAATATGTATGTAATATGTTCAGTTAATGGCCTTGGTGTGGACATGAGAGTGAGTTTTAGTTCATATGTTTCATCAGAAGGATTTTTATTGTCCTGAAGAAGAAAAAACATCCTGTAATTCACAAGCGCAAAGAAATAAATGATCATATAAAGGTTTTTTTTTAAAGAATTGTTTTTCTTTGTTATCCCTTTAATTATCACATAGCAAAAGATTAAAGTAGTCTCATAACACGTGACTATGTTTTAGCCATTTGCTTTGCTTATTTCAACTTTTTATTTTTCATAGTCTTAAAATATATTAACATTGTGAGATTCAACAATTTTTAAAGAGGGATTTACTAAATCACTGTATTTAGTATCTTATTTTCGTGTTGAAAACATTGTGGAAACAATAATTCTTTAGTTAATTAGGAGAGTTAAAGTGCCAGTGTTTTTTAGATTTTTACATCTATTATATTTCTTAATGCAGCTTCTTTATATTTGACTGGAGGTGGTTTGAATTAGTCGTTCGTGTAAATTTAGTAATTCTCACATCTGAAATCAATCTTTCCTACTTTTCTACTGCTGTATTTCTCACTGAAGTTGAAAGTTCATAATAAGGAGTAATGTGTGTGTGTGTGTGTGTGTGTGTGTGTGTGTGTGTGTGTGTGTGTGTGTGTGTGTGTGTGTGTGTGTTCCGGCAACACACCAGAGCATCAAGGATCAGGGAAGGCCATGTGAGGCTATGGCAGCTGCAGATCAGCAGCTTACCTGCTTTTCACTGTTGTGTAATCTCACCACCTTAACTTTAGAAGTATCTGCTCCTCCTCTCCTCCCTTCCAGCCCTGCTGGTTTCTTTTATCTAAAGTTCTGGAAAGAGTAATCTCATCTCAACTGATATCTTTTATGAATAATAATAGTACTTTTGAGAGAAAAAGCGGGAGAACAGATGAGTTTACGAAAGGTTCATTCCATGTGTGTTTCTCTCAAAAAGTTGTGAAGTCTTATGTGTTTTGTTCGTCTTTTGTCTGCCTACAGCAGTGCAGTGATCTTTTTTTTTTGTTTCCTGTGTGGTTTGAGAGCACTTCATAGTACCGAGACAGCACATGTTAAAGTTACTAATGACCTACAGTTGACTGCAGACAGAGGTGACTTTAAGGTAATTTAAGTGCTGCCTTCGATACATTTGATCATAGCATCCCGTTATATCGCCTGGAGACTTGGGTAGGCATTGAGGAAGCAGCTCTTAGTTTATTACACTCTCCAACAGATCTTTCTTTATTATTCAGGGTAACTCTTCTTCCTCTACGGCTCAGTTAAGCTGTGGTGTCCCTCAAGGTTCAGTTCTTGGACCCCTTCTGTTCTCTATTTACATGCTGCCTTTTGGCCAGCTTATCCAAAAACATTATGTGCTTTACCATTTTTATGCTGGTGACACTTTTAATGAGCAAGTCCAAAGAAAAGTTGTCCAGTCATGTTTCTGCAGCTAAAGATAATCTCTAAAATTGCTTGACTCGTTACTGGGACAAAAAAGACACGATCACATCACCCCTGTGCTTGCCTCTCTACACTGACTGTAACATTGTTATGGCACTTTATCATGTTTTATCTATGATTTAAGGGCATCCAAGAGGGCACTTTTGCAGCATTTTTTCAAACATGGGGACGGCAATTTTGAACTGAGGTCAAACCCATTTTAGTTTGACTTCATTGGGAATAGATTGGCCTTTCACTGCAGCCAGAGCATTTTCAACCATCCTCTGCACCATCCTTCTTGTTGTAGTGTAAGTGTTGGTGCCAAGGTGGGGGGTGAGCAGCACATTAGGAAGGCCAAGGAGAGGATGATCCCTGCACAAGAAGGATAAGAGGAGTTAGGAGCTGGCAAAGAGCTAATTGTTTGCAAATGTTAAATTCTCCTTTCTTTAACTATCAAACAAGGCTGCTTGCAATCTTTGCCTGTATGTGCAGACTGGTAAACAGATTATTTTTTCCTTTTCAGGTTGTTGTGTTTCACTGAATATCAAAGCTGAGATTAAAAATGTACAGGGATTATCAATTGTCCTTTGATAAGTCCCTGAATACCATGTGTGTCAGTTTCTCTGTAATCTATTGATGTGAAGAGATAATGTTTGTCAGTTACAGCGGGACCATATCTAACTAGTACACAGCAATTTTGATCAAAAGTAAGTTTGGTATTGCAGTAGCAAAACTGAGCAAGAATACAACTGTTCATTTAAAAGAGGAAGAATGTGATTGTTTTTCTTTCAAAAGTTATATAGTTATATATATAAAATGAAGTGAGTCTGGTTGAAGAGTGTTATGTAACCTTGGTAAAGGTTCAGGATGAGTCACGTCTAATGCTGCTGCACGAATCGTTCCAGACTGCAGAGCTTTGACTAAAGCATCCTGGTCCACAACCAGACCTTGGACACCAAAAGAATTTAGATTAAAGATTAACATTTCAGAATAACTTAACAGTAACTTTTACAGTTCTTTAACTGAGATCAGTAAAGTCCAGGAGACGCATTGTCCTCACCTCTGCTGATGTTGACCAGTGTTGCTGTGGGTTTCATGAGGGACAGCTCTCTGTGGCTGATCAGGCCTGTGGTTTCAGGGCTCAGGTTCAGCGCTACCATGACAAAGTCTGACTCTTTCAGCAAGTCATCCATGTTCTCACAGTAACTCGCCCCGACTCCCTGCTCATCCTCAACACTCCTAAACAGCACGGAGAAAAGATGTGGCTGACCATTAGAAGGGTTGTGTTGATTCAATGATTATCTGGTTACAGTAGTGATATATGTTTCTATTTGAACTTACATGAGATTGAAGATATTACAGAGGTAGTAATATCATTAAAGGCAACATCAATACATTTGTTATATGTAAGTAACCAATGAAAACTGGACTTTCAACAATGTTTTAACAAAATATGTCTAAATTAACTAAATAAACAATTATTCCTCAAACTTTCACCTCCTGTTCCTGTTGTGATACAGGATCTTCATGTCGAATCCTCTGGCTCTTTGAGCGATTTTGCTCCCAATGTGTCCCATTCCAATAATCCCTAGAGTGGACCCTGTGACTTCAACTCCCATCAGGTTTTCTGGTAAATGGGTGGTCTTGGGGTCCAGAGCTATTTGGTGGCCTATGGAAAACAAGACCAAAAAAACATGGAATCAACAATAACTTTATTAAAGCCTGTATTGCTGCTGCTACAGCAGTTTCTGACACATTATTCACTGGTGTGTCCTGGATATAAAGTAGCATCTAATAATTAATTTATCATTGATGCAACAGAAAAGCAGAAAACTAATTATTTGTGAAATAAAATATTTTAGAAGAATCATTAGTAAATGGACTTGTTTAATAAATAACTTGATACAGTCTGCAATACAACTTTTTTTCTGTTAAGCTTTATTTAGTGTAAAAAACTTTTGGTTTTGTAATTGTAAGGATTCAGTTAACCTTTGACCTATAGTCTAAGTAAAAATGGTGTCATACAGGTTTTAAAACCCTTTGAGGCAAATTTGTGCTTCATGATTTTGGCTTTATATATATATATATACAGCGGGTAAAATAACACGTCACCAGATGTCGGTAACAACCCATGCAATCCACACATGCAAAGAAACCAAAATAAATAATATCAGAAATTAAAGTTATGTGTAATAAAATGGAATGACACAGGGAAAAAGTATTGAAAACGCCTACTGAAATGTATTTAATACTTCGTACAAAAGCCTTTGTTGGTAATGACAGCTTCAAGACGCCTCCTCTATGGAGAAACTAGTCATATGCAATGCTCAGGTGTGATTTGGCCCATTCTTCCGCACAAACAGTCTTCAAATCTTGAAGTTTCCATGGGCTTCTTGTATGAACTCTGATCTTTAGTTCTTTCCATAGATTTTCTATTGGATTCAAGTCAGGTGATTGGCTGGGCCATTCTAGCAGCTTTATTTTCTTTCTCTGAAACCAATTGAGAGTTTCCTTGGCTGTGTGTTTGGGATCATTGTCTTGCTGAAATGTCCACCCTCGTTTCATCTTCATCATCCTGGTAGATGGCAGCAGATTTTTATCAAGAATGTCTCGGTACATTTTTCCATTCATCCTTCCTTCAATTATATGAAGTTTCCCAGTGCCGTATGCTGAAAAACAGCCCCACACCATGATGTTCCCACCTCCAAACTTCACTGTGGGTATGGTGTTTTTGGGGTGATGTGCAGTGCCATTTGACCTCCAAACATGCTGTGCATTATGGCATTCAAAGAGTTGAATTTTGGTCTCATCTGACCAGACTATAGTCTCCCAGTATTTCACAGACTTGTTTAAATGTTGTGCAGCAAACTTTAAACGCGCTTCAACAATGGAGTCTTGCGCGGTGAGCGTGCATACAGGCCATGGCGGTTGAGTGCATTACTTATTGTTTTCTTTGAAACAATTGTACCTGCTAATTCCAGGTCTTTCTGAAGCTCTCCACAAGTGGTCCTTGGCTTTTGGACAACTCTTGTGATAATTCTTTTCACTCCTCTGTCAGAAATCTTGCGAGGAGCATCTAGTCGTGGCCGGTTTATGGTGAAATTATGTTCTTTCCAGTTCCGGATTATGGCCCCTACAGTGATCACTGGATCATTCAGAAGTTTAGAAATCCTTCTGTAACCAATGCCATCAGTATGTTTTGCAACAATAAGGTTGCGAAGGTCTTGAGAGAGCTCTTTGGTTTTACTCATCATGAGATGTTTCTTGTGTGAGACCTTGGTGATGAGAGCTGATATTAATTTGCACTGACAAGTGACCGGATTGCTTTCTAATTATTGGTAGATTTCAGTTGGTGTCTTGGCTTTCCATGCCTTTTTGCACCTCCCTTTCGTCATGTGTTCAATACTTTTTCCCTGTATCATTTCATATTATTACACATAACTTCATTTATGGACATCTATGGTTTGATTTCTGTGTGGATTACATGGGTTGTTACCAACATCTGATGAACATTTCATGTCAGTAGCACCTTTAGAAATATATTTACTGAGAATAATGGTGACGTGTTCAATACTTATTTTACCCGCTGTATATATATATATATATATATATATATATATATATATATATATAATTGCCTTGGCTTGACTCACCTTCAACGATCTTTCGTGCCGATGCCAAAAGCAGACCCAGTGCCATATCTGCTGTGGCATTGCTCACCACACCGGGAGTGTTGGTCACCTTCACTCCAAGACTGCTGATGTATGGCACATTCAGGTGGTCAATGCCCACTCCTCCATTGGCGACCACCTTCAGTGATGGAAGCAAACTGAGCAGCCAAGGCTCGGCTAAAGGACGGTGCCAAACAAACATGGCCTGGATTTTAGGACCATGCAGCTTGGGGTTTTGAATGAAGTCTTTGTAGCAGATGAGTTGGAAGTGTTGTTCCATTATGTCAGTGACTTCTTCAAGGTAACCCTGTTCACCACCCACCTCTGAGATCAGAGCCCATGGTTTGTTGTCCTCCATTGCCTGGAGGAATGAAAGTTAAAACACAGTATGGCAAACACTCAAACACTTGTGTGTCATGTCCTGGAGTGGGCAGGGATAGAGTCTATGCACACTTAAAATTTTAGGCAGCGTGGGTTCAAGACAGCGCAGACGTAAAACTGGGTTAACTTGAACCACTACCAGTGGGGTGTTTGAGGTGTTGGTGTTTAGGTTTGCCTATATTACTAAGGTAACAAAACACAATACATATTATTTTCAGCTGGTTATACCGTAATGAAAACATACATATGAATATTATATACCATTTCTGGCAATAAATTATCCTGAATGAGAATGGACAAACTAAACATTGGCTGTAGATTATCCCAGGTTGTCAAATATAAGCAAACCTTTGTATGTCATTTAATTTGTTCTCACCTTCTGCTGGAACCTGATGAGTGTTTCTCAACCCTGCTGTGTCCTGACTTACTGAGGGTTAAGAGGGAGGGGACAGAGGAAAACATTCAGCTCATAATGTCTGACTTCCCATTTGCTTTAGATAAAGATTAAACAGAGGGTAATCTACACCCATATAGCATGGAGAGGAGAGGACGGGTAATAATTCATTAACACAGTGACTGGGCCAGGCCCGGCCCTAACCAATTTGGCGATAAAATAAAGGAGGATCACTTGATGCTGTTGAAGCGGCGATGACTGTAGATGGCCCAGGATTTGCAGGAGGTGGATTTAGATATTTCAACAGCGCATATGAAGAGAGAAGAGGAGTAAGTGACACCGTTGGGTGTTACAGTCTAATAATAAAAGAAATGATTCCAAGAATAAAATTAAATAATAAAAATGAAAAACCTAAGAGATGTATTACTTTCACTGTACTGTACATGAATGATATACAGTGTAATTTCGTCTGATATGCAAATTAGATCATATTTAATCTTATTGTCATTACAGTGAAATGCTGATTATCAGAATGCAAAGAAGCAGTAAACTGCAGTATAATATAACCTATGGGAATGTATTAACATTAATGATGTGCACTTTAACATGGATGTAAAGTCTAACACTATAAACACACTTTAGACAATACTGAACTGTAACACAACAAACAACAAGGCTTACAACTCTTATATATAAAGGTGTGTGAAAGGAATAGCATTTGACTGTTACAAGCGGAGCAAACATTAGCTAACCAATAATAAATAAAAATAAAAATGTAGACAAATATAAACACTTGCTGAATAGATCTAATCTTTACAAATGTCCCTGAGAAATAGAAGGTGGGAGTATTACTTTTTTCCATAACAGCTGTTAGGCCCCTCCATAACATGAACTGAGGTTCAAACGAGCTAACGCTATTTATTGATTAACAAACCGTGTTAGGCTAAAGGTTACTATCGTTCTGCAACAGACAAATCATTTCATAACATTATCTTTACTGTACCTCTGTCTTTGTCGCGTTTTTGTCTTGTCTTGTCTTTTTTTCCTTCCCTGGGCACCGGAAAGTTTTTTTATTTATTTATTTATTTATTTTTAATTTTTTTTATTGAACAATTTAAATGTCAAAGCTACAAGGTATACAATATCAATCAGCACATTGGTGACACAATTAATAAATAAATCAAAGATAGAGTACAAATTGGCGAAACCTACCTACCACTGAAACAGAATCAGAATTAGAAATACTTTATTGATCAGTTTGTAACACAATATAAAAAGTAGAAAATACAAAATGTATAAATAGGTATATAAAATAAAACAAAATAGAAATATAATAAGATAAGTATATACATTATAAAACAATATATGACAATATAGATAGAAATTATATGCTACAGTATGTGACCAACATAAGTGTAATGAATAATAGTATTAAGTAACTGATAAGGTTAATGTTGAGATCCTTAAAAGATTTCAACAGAAGTATTACAACAAATGAGCCAGAGTATTGCACATTAATCAGAGATCAGCACTTTTAAACAGTAGTTAGAGCACTTGACAGAAGGAGAGAAAATAAAGACATTCCCATGCTGTAGAAACTACAAAATATAAAGTTTTTATTGTGAGAAAACAGGTGAAGATAGGCAGGAAAGGAGGGAGACATAAATACAGCAAAGGGCTGCAGGTTGGAATCAAACCTGGGTCTCAGCCTACATGTAGAACAGGATCTACGAGGTGAGCTATAAATAGGTTCTTCTTAATGTATGCAGTTTTGGCTTCTTCAAGACTTTGCAGGAGGCTCTAACTGTGCCAGTTTGCCAGCTGAGGACAGGAGCTGATCCCAAAAGACTCTCCAGGGGGGGGATCAGACTCAGAGGAGTGCAAACTGGAGGTGTGCAGGCTGCTGTCGGATGATTTTGATAAGGTTTAATAAAGTTTCAATAATTCAAAGACTCTTTAATGTCACCTATTTAAGAACCAAAAGTACTCTAACCTACAGTAGGACATGAACGTCATTTGAACATGTAACCACTAGGTGGCAATAATACATCAACATGTGTCTGTGTGGCAGCACAGGGACTTCACTTGTGAATTAGTTTATCTGCTGAAAGTCTGCTGTCACAGCACACATAACGTGCGGCACTTACACTGGGAGGCTAAAGGTGGATGACCTCATCTTCTACTTTGAGTTTTTACATTTGCAGTAACATATCAACAGAACGAGCAGACAACAGCCACACTGTGTAAGACAGTGGTTCCCAACCTGTTTGGTGTGTGATCTACTCCTTGTGACCCGTTAAAATATGATTAAATAATATGCAGGTTATGGCCTTAATGTGCTTTTACAGGACAGAGAAGTAAAAGTATCCTGTTATTCACACGCAAGGGGAAAAAAAACTATTTATTTTACTCTTTTATCATCTCATAGCAAAAGATTAAAGTAGCCTCAAAACACGTGACTATATTGTTGTTGTTGTTGTTGTTGTTGTTGTTGTTTTCTTTTCTTGTGAGATTCAAAAGACAAATTTGACCTGGAAGAGGGATTTACTGAATCACATTCTTTGGGTCCAGTGTCTTTTCTTAATTTCAATGATTCTTTATGAAATTAGGAGAGTTAAAGTGTCACTGTCTTTTTAGATTTTTAGACAATCTATTGTATTTTTTGAATGCAGCCTCCTTATATTAAACTTGAGGTGGTTTGAATTAGCCATTTATGTACATTTAGAACCTTTCATTTCATTATTACTTTTCTGTATTTCTCAGCGAAATTTTTCACTCAAGTTATCTGTAAATAAAATCTGATAATTGAGTCTGCACCCTCTATCCAGCTTTTAAAATGCAGCACCTGGATTTGGTAATTTGGTAATAAGTTGTTATAAGGAGTTATTTGATGTGATTGTCTGTGTGTGTGTGTGTGTGTGTGTGTGTGTGTGTGTGTGTGTGTGTGTTCCTGCAACAAGCCAGAGCATCAGGGAAGGCCATGTGTGCAAGGCAGCTGCAGATCAGCAGCTTACTTGCTTTTCACTGTTGCATAATCTCACCACCTTAACTTAAAGTATCTGTCCTGTCTCCTCCCAGCTCTCTCTTCTCCCTTACCTCTCCACCCCTCTGTCACCTGGGCACTCCCCCAAACTTTTTGACCTTTTTCTCATCCACCTCCTCCCATCCTCTCAAGTGCATTCTTTGTCTCTCCTCCTAGTGGCGGACTCAGGCTGTTTGAAGGGCAGAGGTGAAATAAATAAAAGGGCAGCACCAGCGTGCAGAAAGATGTATTTATGGTGATACAGCTTAGTCTGGATTAGTATTAGTACCCTCTATAGAAGGCATTTCATCATGTTTTATCTATAGGAGCATCAAAGAGAGCACTTCTGCAGCATTTTTTCGAACGTTGGGTCACTGGAGGGGTGATCGCCTCCCCTCCCCTGCCTCCACCTCCACCAGTCCACCAGTGCTCTCCTCCATACATCTGAGGCTGCAACGTTTTTCCTCCCTCTGTCTATACTGGCCAGGACTCATTTAGGCTTTCATTAAGCTCAGGTCAGCTCTCCAGCCAAGCTCCAGTTCCATCTGCCGCCACGTCCGACAGCAGGAGGCCTTTTAGCAAAGTGCTGACTCACGTGGTGGACACAGCAAACATATCTCTGCATCATCACACAGCATTTTGAATATTGTTGACGATGCTCTTCTCTGATCAACAAACACGAGGAGGTCAAGCAGGAGGTTTTTAAGGAAAATACATCATATATTTTATCCAAACATTTGATAAAAGTGCTGCACCATCCCTCTTATTAAACACTCTATTATGGCTCAATATGACAGAATTGATTATATTGCATGTCATGGTCTCATGTTTACAGACAGGTGAGGACTTATACCTGAGCGGTGGTGTCACATTTGTCACGGTACAGTGCAGAGGAGACACTAAGTGAAAAAGTACTTAAGTAAACTCTCTATAATAGATTGCTGACGTGAGTCCACAGCCTCATCCTGACTCAGCTTATCGGAAGCACAGAGCTCTTTGAAGTCAAGGTGTAGTTGCTTTTCACTCTGCCTCATCTGAGCAGATAAAAATAAAACTCCAAAACAATGCAGATGACTTTGCTGTGGGCTTTATAAATGATTTCAATGCTGTGGTGTCATATCTGCATTCTTCTTTCTATTTTCTGGCAGAAGTAAATCACACTTAAATAAGGAAAGATGAAAAATTCAATTTATTCTGGATTCTATTTATATATAACTATTTTCTTCTGCCACATCCAGAGACAAAATAATAAAAGTGACCTGTAAAGAAATGAAGCAGGTAAATGCCCAAAATGTGACATTTGCCAGCAGTCCTATTTGGTGCCTTGTTTGGGATCCTATCATTTTTTCCTGTCTTTTCTATTACCGTTAACTTTGTGGGGACATTTTTTATTTTATTTTATTTATTTATTTTGCTACAGTCCTCTGTCTGCAATAAATTGTAATCAATAGCTGGCTGGTCTCAAAGCACTGAACATATTTCCAGACCATGGCACCACTATACAGGGGTGAGAGAAGTAGGGAGATTAAGTAAAAGTAGCATTACAACAGTGTAAAAATAGTCCATTACAAGTGAAAGTCCTGTTTTCAAAATTAAAAGTACAAACATATTACCAGTAAAAGTATTCATTATGCAGAAAAATGGCTCCTGTGAGTGTTACATTAGCATAAATCATATTATTTCATTATTTTTATGGCTGTTTGAGCAGCATTTTAATGTTGTAGTTGGTGAAGCTAATTTGAACTGTTTTAGTCATAGTTTAAGCTGTAAATTCTTTCTTATTTCTTTTATATACTGATTGCACATTTTGGGTGTAAATTCTTAATCTGACAAGTAACTAGTAGCTATAGCGGACAGATACATGTAGTAGAGTGCTAAGTAGAATAATTCCCTCTGAAATGTAGTGGAATATAAATCTAAGTATTCAAGTAAATCCAAGTATTTTACTACATTACTTAATTAAATGTACTGATTTTAATAATGAGTAAAGCTGTTCAACCATTTCCTCATAGAAATGTCATTTAAGTTCCCTTTTAAGTTTCTGTTTTACTAAGACATTGTTTTACACTGATGGAGGAAGTCACATTTTTGTAGATGTTATCACAAATCTTGCAAAACCTCTCTTCCTATTTGGTTTCCTTTTAAAGCTGGTATTAATAATTGGCAGTCCTCCAAGTATTGAACATGTTTCATTCAGGATCTTGGTGTGTGGTCAAACTGCAGGATATATTTAAGTAAAAATTGTGAGTGTAATGGAGACAGTAGTGAAGTGGGGACACTGTGGAGGTGTATACACCGATCAGCCATAACATTATGACCACCTGGGCACCCTGTTGGTCATAATGTTATGCAGCCCCATACGCAATAAACTATGATGCCCTGTAGGTTCTGACATCTTTCTATTAGAACCAGCATTACAGTAGCTCCTCTGTTGGATCGGACCATACAGGCCAGCCTTCGCTCCCCATGTGCATCAATGAGCCATGACCACTTTGACCTCTTTTGATAGGTACTGACCACGGCAGACCGGGAACACCCCACAAGTGCTGCAGTTTTCGAGATGCTCTGTCCTCTAGCCATCACAATTTGGCCCTTGTCAAAGTTGCTCAAATCCTCATGCTGCCTATTTTTCCTGCTTCTAACACATCAAGTTTGAGGACAAAATGTTCACTTGCTGCCTAATATATGCCACCTACTGACAGCTACCATGATAACCAGATAATCATTGTTATTCAGCCTGCTGAACTTCTTAGTGGACATCTGCAGGACAGGTCATCAGTGTCCCCCCACGAGGGTTTCTGTCCCAGGGTTGTTCCTGTAAATGTTCAGAGGATTTTCCCTCCCCTGCAGAGACCACAAACATAAAAACAGTTCACACTCGTGTCCCTTTCTAATGGTTCTGCAGAAGCTCAACACGCAACTCTCAGCATGTCCTGGTTGAGAATAAATTCACCTGCGTGGTAATCCAGTCAGCACGAGCATTAGTCTGCTGCTCATGACGCACACGTCGACCCGGTAGGGCCGTCCTTGTTCTCTGACTGCTGGAGGATCACCTTCTCTTCTCTGGTGTCCAGAAACCCATGCTTTGTCTTTTGATAGGGACCAGCTTTAACAACACTAGACATCTATAACCACCCTTAACCTGGATCATAATATCACATATTGATCAGTAATTTGGCAGAATCAACAGAAACTTACGATAAAATGAGAACAGTGACAGAAACGTGAACAAAGGCATTGTACTGCCGTCTTACAGGTGGATTTTATTGTGAAGAAAGAAAGATCACCATCCTCAGCCAGTTGAATGGCTGCCAGAGAGATTAGCTCACTACAAAACTTTGGCCACGCTCCCCAGTGGGTTCAGAGCAGCACAAGGTTAGCGCCTTCTGGTTAGGTAACAGATAATCAGTGAGAAGAGGCTGATGGTCTTCTACTGTGCAGCTCAGTGGCTTCTCCATCCAGCACCAGCTACTTAGCATTGTCTCTAAAGCCACTGTTACCTAATGACAGAGCCCGTGCTGAGCCATGGGGCCGGCTGGTTTAGAGGGTGGTTCTCCTGCTCAAAGCTTCTTGGCGTTTGAGCTGTGGCAGACCAGGTCTCACTGGTGTGTATGTGTATATGTGTGTGTATGTGTGTATGTGTGGGTGGGTGAGTGCAGAGTTGGGGATTGCTCTTCAGTGGACAGCCAGTCAGATCAATGTTATGCAAACCTATTAGTCAGAGGTTGCAGTGCTAGCTCCACAGTACTCAGGGACTCTCCCCCAGGGTCAAACTCACTGATGAGCTCTCACCTCTGTTAAGAGTGAATAACAATGTTGTCTGCTGGCCAACGTCAGAAACTCACAGCATTACAATGTCAAATAATGCTACCATGACGCTGAATTACTTACCCTGAAACTGCATTGGTGCAGACGTCATGCATACCCATGGTCTTTGTTTGATCATTAGAAATTGATTTATTGTTTCATTTGCTTTTGTGATTTTGTGTATTTGCATTATTTTCTAAACTGGCTTTATATGTAATATGTTATATTTTATTAAAACATAAAGATGCATAAATGAGCATATGTGAAACAACACAACAAGACAAAACCAATATTTGTAAATTTAATGAGCTCATTACAGTTTGAATATGATCACAGATTGCATGGCACTTTCTGTACATCATTGTGTTGAAAAAGTAATATTTATGGATTTCTCTCAATATGGGATATGATTTTTGGGGATGTCCATGTAACACAGGGGTTAAGATGCCCACGAGAGCCGCCATGTTCCCGGTTTGAGCCTGGCAGGGAACTTTGTTACATCTCTCTACCCCTCATTTCCTCTGATCTCTCTGTCTGTAATAAAGCCATATAATGACACTCTCAGTTATGATAAGTTTCGTTTTTATATTGTTGGAAGCCTGACATGCTGACTTTAGTTTGATGTTGCATGAGTCACCATTGTGGTATGAACCCATGCATACATCTCAGTTCACTAAACCTCAGTGTATAGCAATGTCAGGGTTTATATAAGATCATTTACCACACAAATTTCAAGGGACATTGGTCTCGAATGCACGGCACAGAATATATGACTCCTCTATATATTTATTTTATTATTATTATTATATTATTTTAACATCGCTAGCCATCAAATTGGGCTTTTGTGACATTGCAAAGAAGAAGTGCAACACCATTTGTTATCACACACAAGCTAATGTGATGCCTGCATGCTTGGGTCATTCATGTTTCTGTGACGTTTAAAACTTGTCTTTTATGTTTCGTTTCTGAATGCAGCGAATCATTCAATCTGCCACTGTGGTCAGGGTTTTGCTGAGTCAACAGGAGGGAGGGGTTCTCAGTGTTCTTTATAAGGCCATTAAGAAAATGCTCCCTGGAACACCGGCTGAATAAGCCCTGTGGCTTTGACTTCCACTAATCATCTTAAGCAAAGCATGGCTCCCAATGTGCCTGTGTGGGAACACCTGTACTGGGCCACAGCAAAGGCATGGTGGTTATCATCACCATAATCTGTCTCATCATTATCGTGCAATACTCGGAAATAAGTAAGCTCATTATGTATAAACTGGATGATAATGTAAGGGAATGCAAACAAAAGGACATTTAAAGTAAAGAATTTAAAATTAAGTCTACAACTGTTTATCTTTATCATTTGAATCCATGCAGAGGACTTAGTTGCAAATACGCTTCATTAGGAAGAAAAAAAAACAGCAATGCAGATGAGACACACATAATGCATGCAAAACTATGGTTAGAAATGTGCATTTGCATGAAATTACATTTGCATTGAACTGCATTATTAAAGACAAGCATTTGGGTAGGTGTAAGCTACGGACACATGCACTGCATGGCTACACAAACAGCTTATATCTTTTTTCCTCTATTTTGGGCTTTGGAAATGTTTTTTAAATGCTACTTTTATTTGTTTTATGTTACATTTATCCATGAAAGACCATGAAAGGCTGTTAACAGCAAGTGAGAAAGCAGTTAAAAGCTAAAGTGTTCTTGGAGTTTAGATTAAACAAATTAAAAAACACTTTATTGATCCTCAGGGCAACAGAGCCATGGAAATATAAATATATACAATTAAATCAAAGCTATGAAGATAAATAAATACAGGCAAAGTATACAGTAAATAGAGAAAAAACTATATAATAAACAGAAGATATGAAACCCATATACAATGGACCTTGTGCAGTGATGTTTAATATTAGTTTCTTCATATTCCTGATATATTTACAAAATATTACAAAGCCTGTACCAACAAGACCACACAGAACTACCAGCACTTCCTATGTCCATAATATAACCATGTGTTCTCATGAATTTATAAGTAAAAAACAAAAACAAAAACAAACTTCTGTGCAGATCTTTACATACTAATCGCTGTCCAGGTGCCGGGATCTTGTTGCCAGGACAACGCGGCTTCACCATTGGTCTGCCCCGGCACCACGTGACGGGCAGACTTTGACGTCACGTCGAGAAGCTGCAGGGCTAAGCAGAGTCTGTGCAGCGGCTCTCGGGAAACAGCTTGGTAGAGTTTGGACTGAGAGCAGCCGGGAAAAAAAACTCCTGCTCCTGCGAGGCTACCTGCAACCTGTTGCTCCCCACGTCGTTTGCCTCTGAAACTTTTTACCGTTCGCACCGGTAATGGACTATTAGAGAGACTTTTAACAGCCCCCCCCCCCTTCCACAGCAACTTAAAAGCGAGGTAAGTTGTTGCTAATTTTGAGGTCCGTACCTCCCTCGCAGTTTGTCTGCTTCCTGTTACTTTCTTTTTCTTTTTTAGTTTTTCGGGTTTTTTTTTTTTTTTGTTGTTGTTGTTGCTTTCTAGCTCAGGTGAGATGAGTTTGCAGGTTGAAGCAGTTTTACCTTACAGCTAGAAAACTCTCACTCACACTCTTTATTCGCCTGTATAATATCACAGGAACAAGGTTTTTTCTTCCATAACTTTGCAGTGCAGCAGCTTTACAAGACACTAGCAGCGGATAAAGCTTTACCTAGATTTCTAATCGGATGAGGCTGCTTCTTCTTTGCCCTGCAGGAACTCCCCGGAGGAGCCAGAGATGAGTTTTGCTGCCTTTTACATACTCCCATATTTTATTGTTGCAATGAGTGAGGACAGGAAGTGAAAAAGGAGTCCTGCCACCACCACACAAGGCTGAGTGAGGCAGGGTATCTCATTTCAGCAAATACACATCAGTCAGTCAGTGGATTAGAGCAGGAGAGAGGAAGTAGCATTATTGGACTGGTGGTACTTTACCTTGACAGGTGAGCTGAAATGTTTGTTTTACTGTGAATGAATGTCTTTGCTAGAGAGTGTGTTTGGATACTGGTCTTCATTATATAGCCGGTGTACAGTAACAGAGCTTTCACTCTAATGAGCTGGCAGTCTTGGGAGCTTCAGTGCATTGGTAGTTATCAAAAAATTCAGCAACAGACGACTTAAAGTAAGTAAACAGATCAATGATGAAAAGATCAAATGGACAGAATCGTCAGCAGTTTTGGTGAGATATTAATCTGAGTCGTTGCAGCATCTTAAATGTGAGGATTCGTAAGTTTTCCTGGTTTTTAGGGCTACAAGTAAGAGTTATTTTTATTATCAGTTAATCGGTCAATTACTTACAGGTCAAGTAGATCATAAAATAATTTATTTAATTCATTCCAGTCATTTAAAATGTCAGAAAAGGGGGAATACAATGTACATACAATATCAAACAAGCCGTATTGAAGCAATTAGTTGGTTAATCCATCAACAGAAAATATAGCCACAACAATTTTGATAATAGCCAAACACTCAAATTGTTCCAGCTTCTCAAATGTAAGGAGTTACTGCTTTCCTCCTGTTTTACTGTAAAGACAAATAATCAATAATGAAAATCGTCATTAATTGCCACCCTACATGTAATTGCTTTGCCAGTAGACCATATTGGTGTCAGGTTCCCACCAGACAATCGAGCAGCTAAAGTCAGACTGAGGATGAAATGGACCGGAGACAAGATTGCTGCCTTTTTCAAAGTGGCTTGTAGAATTAAGAGACCTCGCCGGCCGTGTGCAAATGTATTTGTTGTGTCTGGTGGTAATTGAATGCCAGTGGTTTGGTTGTTTGTGTGGGATGTAAACAACGACCTGTCACGGCTGATTTTCTTCTGGTGGTCCCTGTGAAGTGTTCGTGAAGTGTTCATGAAGTGATCAGAAATGACTGAGTTGATATGATACGAGTGGACACAAGGAGAAAATGAAATGCTACAGTTACAAGAGTAGCTCGAATATATTGACACACAGACTCTGCAATGGCATCTAGTCTTACTATCTTTTTTTATGCTCCGTTGCTTCCAAACTCTCGATACGCTTTTAGGAAATTTGGACCCGAAACTGAAGTGAAATACAGCTCCACCTCCTCACCTCAGGCAGCCAACACAACATGGCAAGAAAATTTAAAGACCTGTGGAGGTGCTGACACGAGGGTGGAGTCGAGCTAATAGCCCCCTTGGTGTCAAAAGCATCCCTGCAAACATTTCAAGATGCTGAACTCTTCACAAATGCATGCTAAATTTGAACAGATGTTCTATTTTAGTTGGTGTGGGTGTCTTGCGGGCTTGTTTTGGGCCAGAATGACCACGCTGGCAGCATCCTCTGTAGTTATACTCATCCGGGCTGCAGTCAGTGCCCTTTTGAATTGAATTAGCCCTTTTTTTTTTTTTTTTTTTTTAAAAGGAAGTGGACAGGGAGAGTGATTGGGAGAAAGCAAGGACGATGAGTGGAGGATTAAAACTGAAAAAGCAAGCGAAAGCTTCAGATGCTGGGATATAGAAAGAGACCTAAAGAAAGGGAATTTGGGCCTGTCACACAGATAATATTTTGGACAGAAAGCCATATTTCACACACGCTGTGCAGCAGATATCGGTGGGGGGGGGGTTGTTTAGTCATTGGACAGATTGACATTTCCATCTCTGCAGCCTTTTGTCTTTACAACAGGCTGTTTTCGGAGAGAGGCACATTTAGATATTCAGTGCAAAGTAAACAGCACCCTCCTCATGCAATCAGTGACAATTTGATGCGAGTGTGTGAGTGGCGGCGTGTGTTTGTCCAATCCCGAGTCTGTTTTGCAGCTCTGCCTGCCTTCTTGCAGTTGTTGTCAGTGACACTTTTTTATCTTGTTCTCATTCGCTCCCTCATAATGGCTTCTCTGTCTCTCCGTCTCAATCTCATGATTGTGGTTTTCTGCAGCGCCTTGACGCACGAAGCTCTCCGGCTGACAATGGGAGCTCATGTGTGCCGCATTATGATGAAGTTGCTGCCTCAGATTTCTCAGAGGCAGGATGGATGGGACTTTTACCAACATTTAGAGGAGGAGAGAAATGGTTTAAGGCATCAGTTTTTCTTTCAAATGTGTTTCAAGCTCATAGTTCAATTTTTGCTTTTTCTGGGTGTTGCTGTATACGAGTCGCGGTGACAGAAGTGCTAAAGCGATTACCAATGTGTGGTTTCCACTGATGTCCATTGAAATGACAGATAGAGACTGTAATACAAGTGCTATTGCAATAAACAAACTTGTGACAGAGGAAGTGGTGGCTATTTTTAGTTTGTGTTTTAAGAGTTTGATCTGAAACTGTCTTATGTTTGCACTCTTGTAGAGGAAGCTTAACTGGATTTGGGCTGAAACTAATGAATGACTAATGAGTATTTTTATCATCGATTAACCTGCTGATTATTTAGTTTGATTAATTGTATATGGAAGCTAAAAAATTTGCAATTGTGAAGAAATGGTCATCTCAATTTCTCATAGTCCAAGGTGATGTCTTTCAAACCTACGGTCCAATGCTATGAACTTTATTATCATGTATTTTAAAGAAAAGCAGTAAATCCTCAAGTTTGAGCAGCTGAAACCAGAGAATGTGAGGAAAAAAATGGCCAAGATGATTAATTGATTATCAAAAGTTGCTAATTAATTTTGTGTCAATCGATCATCATCAATCATTTTATCAGTTGTAAACTGGACTAGACTGTCACATACAAACATACAGTCTTGGTGTTTTGATGTTAATGAACAACCAGAGAATTCACATTTTCATGTATTTTACTGTAATTAGATGTAATTTAAAATGACATTTACTTTCAGTTGTTGCAGTCTCATATTCTACATTTATCTCACTGTTTAAATCTTAGTTTGTTGACTTAGCTGTAAATCGCTATAACCTCCTTTTAAATTGACTGCCAGAAGTCCTGTTTACCTGACAGCGACAGAGCAAACCTTCTGCTGAAGATGTCAGTTTCCCCAGACTCTGGTACATATTGGACCGACCGTGGACCAGCTCTGACCTTACACACTAAATAACACAGGAGATAGAGTTGCAGTCCGATATTCAAGGAGCCACTGAAGCATGCTACACTGAACAGCCCTCTTCACGATACTTGTAACGTGAGCACGGGTGCTCCCAATGCTATGCCACGCTGCAGTGTTCGATGGTTGCTTTGAAATGTGCTGCTGATCAGCCATGTGATCGCCGACGGGCTGTAGGCCACAAGACCTTTTAAAGATGATCTGAGATAGTCTATACGGTGTGTGGAGATGTATAGGAGAGCAGCCGGTCAGCGCTTTTAGATCTCGTAAAATTTGAGCCAAAATGGCACAAGTGAGTCAGTCACCTCTTAGTTCATACACGGCAGACTTATGAGAGTGGTTTTCTTTTATTATTTAATTCATTCAGTTTTTAGCTGTCCCGGGCCTAGCTGCTTACGATAATAGAGGCTAGTTTCAGTTGGTTTGAGTAATAACTGCTCTGATATGACTCTAATGTGCTGATATAAGTGAGCCTGTTTGACGGTCTTGAGTTGAGTCTTTGATGTGCTGTTAGTAGAAGGTTTGCTACCACATCGGTTTCTGTCATCCGGCACTGTATTTTTTTTTTTTTTATGACACCGATGTTGACCTTTTTGAATAAGAAGTTAGTTCAGTTAAGTTTTATGTATCATATGTAGGTTAACACAGGGCCAATGGTATAATAAAATGTGTTGGATGAGAAGAGCCCGGTCAGCTCAGCAGTAAGAGCAGAAGTCATATAAAGATAAAGAAAGAGAAAGAGAGATTCAAATAAAAAGGAATATTACCAATAAAATGTATATGTTAAAGGCTTACAATGCTGTGCCGTTTGGTTTTGAGTGTACATTTCCATGCACAAAAGGTCAGTCCATCCCAGTGAGGATAAAATGCTTTGAAAAAAACTGAAAGTATATGTAAGGAGTTTGCAGCAACTTTACAGGCCTGCTTTGTTTCCCTCCCTTTTGGGGTATTTAAGCTGCTCCGTCCATCTGACATTGACAAGTGTGGCAGAGCAGCTATAGAAAAAAAAAATCTCTCTACAAAACCTTAAATATAACTACACAAAATATACCGTTACAGCGCTGTTTAAATCACGTTGCATGAAGTAAGTGAGAGGGAATGAAACTGAATAGATGGCACTGTGGTAAATGTGTTAAAGTCTAGCAGCACACATTACCAGTTTCAACCCGTTGTGTAGCGAGTTAATCAAACATACAACTATGAGCTTTTTTGATGGTCCAATTCCAGACAAATTACTCGCATTAATAGCAGAGTAGAAAGAGAGTTGTTGTGATGTTACAATCCTGTAAGACGTGTGCCTGTGTGTGGTGGAGCCTGAAATCAAGACCACGTTCACCTTCAGCCTCTCAGGTTGTTGTGTCTAATCACAGATGGTTGCTGTTTTTAATATCTTATCACAGCTGAGATGCAACAGAATTATTTCATTTTCACCTGTGTGTGTGAATATCAGATTGCAGATCGTCCAGGTCTCATAATTGCTTGCCCGTTAGGTGGAAGAATCAGCTCTGCAGCCTGGTCACAGACGGATCGTGTTGCATTATGAATGTAGCTTTCATAAACTCGCTATCTGCGATCGGCTCTCTTTCATTCACGCTGGCTCTCTGTCGGCCTCCTCCCAGCTTTCTACTCTGCTCTCTCTGTTCTTAGATTATCTGTGGAACTCTTGGGTTAAGATTTACCTGCAGGATATAAATGGAGACTTCTGCCTGTTACGTAAGTGGGCAACAAGATGTTCTAGGAGGAATGCTGCGTGAAAGGCTTTCGATTCAAGCAGCAAGATTGAGTTCAGCTGTTGGACTGCAGAATTGTGTTTAAGTTAAAAAATACTGGCACTGTCAGTCAACTAATACATTTACTGACTCATAGTTTCAGCTCTATTTCAAATACTATATATTGTATTTAAGGTTCTTAAACACAGATTGCTTGA